TCGGTACATTTTGGCTTGATATTGCTTTCGTCTAAATAAGAAGCAAACGGAAATTGCATTGTTTTGTTCATAGTATCAGACGAAAACCCTCCAAAGACGTGGTTGCAGATCAGATAGCGTAGGATTACGGTAAGAGTACGGTGGTAAGTGCTAACGACCTATGACCTTGATTATTGATAAATTTTCTTACTCTTTTGGAGTGATGGTTTTCTTCTCGCTTTCGGTAATGATCTTGTTTTTGATAAGCCATTCATCATCGATGAATTGATTCCTAAAAATTTAGCAAATGAAATTTTGAAAGCTATTTCAGACAAAAAATCTCACATGTAGTTTCTTATGCCATCAGGGGCCACAACAACGACATTGCGACCTTCGGGCAAGGATTCGGCGAGCTGAAATTGACAATAGAATAATATTTTTCAAGGGGTCGGGTCGTAAAAGTATAAGAAAACGTTCTGGTAAAAGATTTTTGTAGAACAAGATTTTTTTATACCTTGAAAGCTGCACAAACTCCTGCACCTGATGATGGACCAACCATGCATCCTTCCTCCTTCATTAATCTGCGTGCCATCAAGAATGCTTCCTAGAAAATTTTTTCCAAAATCACTTGAGTAAAATCCTAAATTGTAAATTATCACCTTGGCCGTGACTTCTTCAATTCCAGCTACGTCTTTGAAATCCGCAATATCTGATTGTTCTCCAGTGCTAAGTTCGGGTATGGTTGGAAATGTGGAATCATGACTACGAACACCGTAAACCTGTGGGTCAAAAAATAGTAAAAACTATTTCTACGTAAAGAAAACTGTTACCTTGGTGTTAGGGTGATGTTGTTTGAAGAATTTAGAAATTCCAGTCAGAGCAGCGCCAGTCCGTATTGGCACTATGACCATATCAATCTGAAATTTTTTTACTTGAAGTTTCACGAGAAAATTCCAGGATTAGGTTGACTTACATCATTTAAAGCCATTGAGATCTCGTTAGCTGTCGTTTCATAGTGAGTTAGAGC